ACTGCTGCTTCCTAGCTATGTAGAGTTTTCGGTTTTCCGTTTGATCTGCAGCGCAGTCTTTACAACGTTTTCCATTGTACGGATCCCAATATTTAGATGTTTACCGTATGACATTGATATTTCTCCAAAACCTTATTTTGCATAGACTACGCAAATTTTAAAAAATAATTTACTACTTAACAATTTAGAAAATAATAAAAAAGATGAGAAATGTAATGATTATTTTCCAACAAAAAGTAACTTTTGCATTTGTGTTTTCATCCCTAATTATAATTTACAACATAACGATTGAGAAATGTTAAGCTATAAATAAGTAAAATTTTCATTTATCACTATAATTCACAAACACGAACTCTATTGCATTTAGATTCGATGATGATACAATAACAACACGACGAATACAAAACCACTAAACTCAAAGTTGTATCAACCTCTAAATTCAAAGTTGTATAAACCACTAGATTATAAGTTTTGTCCGTGGTAAATTAATATTTATACCATGTTAAGTAGCCTTAGTAGTTATGAATAGGATTCTTGCCTTAATTGATTGAAGGCATTAGTTTTATATACAAGTGTTTACATGAGACAATACTTAACCTAATTACAATTAATAAGGCTAGACATATTAACAAGGCCCAACACGACCCAAATATAAGCATTTACAATTCAATTATTGAGCAACATATAATCTAAGTTTCGAAGAAGCATTATATGTCGACGACAACGAAACGAGCCAACATGACATGAAGCTAAGATGCTTGCTTATAAATTGAGCTTCTAGAAAAACAAGTAAGTCATAAGTGTATAGTTTATACGTATCTACAAAAATATCATATAGATAGGTGTTGATGTAGTGCAAAAAAGTAAGTCTAAAGACTAAAAGTGAAAAAGACAAGAAACAAATTTTCAAAATATAAAATGAAAAAAAAAAAAAAATCGAACGGCGGGACATTGCCTAGAACGACATTGTCACGGCAAGAGGTTGGTGTTGATTCTAAAAATCACACAATAAATTTGTTTAAAAGGGAAAAACAAATTCAATTAACTCTCTTGTTATTAATGATCAAAGACTCGAAAGAAACATGAATTTTATTGCTTGAAGACAAAGTTAGGGTTTTGCTCAAGAACAATTAGGGTTTTTACATAAAGTTGCGGATCCTTTGAATAGAGGACAACCCCCCCCTCCCTATTTATACAAAACTAAGATGGTTTAAAGATAAGTTCAATTTCCTCCTTTTTAGGGTTTGAATCTTTTGATTTTCCTTTCCTTTCGGGATTCTCCTGTTCTTCCTAGGAAAATCTCTTTTTTCTTGAATGAAGAAGTCGGTTTAGGCGATCTCCCGTCTTTGGACCGAGCTCGCCTGACAATCTCCTCTTTTAGCCCATTAACAGGCGTAACCAGAATTTTTCGATTTAACTGAATTCTCAGATTAATTTGTAATTCGTCCGGTTTAAATCGATATTGTCGGAGGTGCTAATTCCTACACCAACTGTCGGCTAATACTTCGCGTGAAACGATAAACCGTCGTAGTGACCTATGTCCATGTCAATTGCATCATCATAGTGTTCCTTTCTATAAAGTTATAAAAGAAAAACTCAAAAAAAAAAAAAATTATGATTACTACATAAAGTTTATAAAAATCATAATTCTTTACAACTATATATACTTTAAGAGAAGAAATATCGTACTTATAATCTTTTTATTAACTGAATATATAATAAGTACGTTATTTCTTCTCTTAAAGTATGTACATATATTTGTTCAATGAAATTATGAATACAGTATATCCAAATTTTCATGATATAATACGAAAGATTCCAAAGAGAATCTTGGATATCTTCTCTCTTGTATTTGTTTAATTTATAGTCTTTCTAGAGTATTGGTTTCTAGAAGAAACTTGCTTCCGTTGGAAAGTGATACGTAACACCAGCTGTCTTGTCCAAAAATCTTCGTGATTTTTTTTCTTTTCATATAATGTTGAAGTATAAAATAACATACGCATGTATGAGTGATATTTATATATAAGGCTCTAAGCATTATTAATATATGGGAAATTACTTAATGTTTTAGTTTTAGATTTTAAATTTGATGCATGGATTATCACTTTTTTTTTTTTACTGTGTTGCATAAATTAAATGGTCATAATTGGTTTCAAAACTATTAAATGGGAAGGTCGGATTCTTGCATGCGAAAAAGACGATGATCATATGAAATTTGATTTGAAGGTGATTTCACTGATATGTAACAAATGAGTATTTTAAAATGTTAATCTTTGAATCAAAATTTCATTTTTTTGTCACAAATTTAAATTAATTTCATATACATACATTATGATATGTGTATTATATTATATGTATATTGATTTTAGAGTACATAGATATTGGACTTTAATTTACCCTAGTATAATGGTTTTGGCTATCATCATCGATGTCTCTCCACATAAATTCAAGTCGATAACTAAGTTCGTAAACTAAAATGAGTTGAACATTACATACATAAAGTATTATAAGATTACACTGTTCTTATTTCTTAATATGAATTTCATGATGAAAGATTGTGAAAGTCTCCCTTGAGGAGATCGTTGTGTATTCACTTGAATATAAAGACATTACAGTTACAAATTGTTTCGAGATCTCCTCGATACTCCTAGATACAAGGGAATATCCTAAGTATAATAAACAAACAGATTGATCGTATCTTATCTCCTAATACCCTCCCGCAGTTGTAGCGGCGGTCTTGTGACGACGCCAAGACTGGACTTGAACTGATTAAATAATGAAGAAGTAAGGCCTTTAGTGAAAATGTCAGCGTACTGGTGTGTTGCCGGAATGTGAAACACGCGAACTTCACCTTTTGCCACTTTCTCACGGACGAAGTGTATGTCTATCTCGACATGTTTTGTGCGTTGATGCTTCACGGGATTTGTTGAAAGGTACACGGCACTGATGTTGTCACAGAAGACCAAAGTTGCTTGAGATAACGGACAATGCAGTTCGAGTAATAGGTTCCGTAGCCAACAAGTTTCTGCTACGGCATTGGCAACTGCTTTATACTCAGCTTCTGCGCTTGAACGTGACACCGAACCTTGACGTTTTGAAGACCAGGAGATCAGTGTATCACCAAGAAAAACGCAGTACCCTAAGGTTGATCGGCGAGTGTTCGGGCAGCCTGCCCAATCGGCGTCGGAATAAGCTACTAGTTTGGTTGAGGGTGACTTAGTAATATGCAATCCTTGCTTCTTTGTTCCCTGGATGTACCGTAGAATGCGTCGCAGGGCATGAAAATGACTTTCTCTTGGATCGTGCATGAACAAACAAACCTGTTGGACAGCATAAGAGATATCTGGCCTCGTAAATGTTAAGTATTGTAGCGCACCCGCCAAACTTCGGTAAAGCGTTGGATCACTCACTTTCGGACCAGCTTCTTCTTCTAGCTTAGACTTGAGATCGACGGGAGTGAGACATGGTTTACAATCCTGCATTCCAGCCCGAAGTAAAATCTCAGCTGCATAATTTTCTTGACATAAGAACACACCATCTTTATCAAAGGTAGCTGAGATGCCTAAGAAAAAACTTAGCTTTCCCGAGTCAGACATTGGGAATTCTTGTTTCAATGTCGAGATGATGGACTGCAACAGCTGTGAAGAAGAAGCCGTGACCATTATATCATCGACGTACAACAATAAATATGCCATATCCGATCCTTTCCTATACACGAATAGCGAAGTATCACTCTTGCTTTGAATAAACCCCATCGTCTTAACATAGGCAGCAAACCTTGCATTCCAAGCCCGTGGAGCCTGCTTCAAACCGTACAACGCTTTGTTTAATTTGCAAACAAAATCTGGGTGTTCTTTGCTAACAAACCCGGGAGGTTGATACATGTAAACTGTTTCGGTAAGAGTCCCGTGTAGAAAGGCGTTTTGAACATCTAACTGGTGAACCGGCCAATCCCTTTCAACAGCAAAATTGAGGACCGCACGTATGGTAGCAGGCTTCACGACGGGGCTAAATGTTTCGTCGAAATCGATACCCTGTTCTTGTGATTTACCATTGGCTACCAGCCTTGATTTGTATCTAGCTAAAGACCCGTCAGCGTTGTACTTGTGTTTGTAGAGCCAGATTGAGTTTATGATATTTGTACCTGCAGGTTTAGGCACTAAACTCCAAGTGTTAGTTTTAATCAAAGCATCATATTCATCCGTCATTGAAGGATTCCAATTTGGATCCAAAAGAGCTTGTCGATAACCTTTAGGAATTGAAGAAACAGATTCGACCGATAAGGAAAGAATTTGTTTTGGTTTTCTAATACCTTGCTTTGACCTAGTAACCATGTGATGTGGTGTCGGCTCAATTGCAGCAGGTGGCTGAGACGTTTGTTGCTCTATTAGAGGAGGAGCAGGTTGCTCGGAGGAAGAAGAAGGAGAAAGAGACGATGGTGAGAGAAGGATTTGTTTTTGTATTAAAGAAGGTTCTGTTTCGTTTTGGAGAAAGTTATAAACAGAACTTGATTGAGTGTTTGAGGCCTTGAACGGAAAGACTTTCTCATTGAACGTGACATGACGAGAGATCACAATTTTTCTTGTCTTAAGGTCAAAGCATCTGTAACCTGAATGAAGAAGAGGATAGCCGAGGAAAACTGATGGTGTAGACCGTGGCTCGAGTTTGTTTTGATAGTTTGTATGAGGGTAACAAAGAGATCCAAAAACTCGGAGATGAGTGTAAGAAGGTGATTTTTGAAACAAGACAGAGAAGGGAATTTTGTTGTCTATCGAAGAAGATGGAAGAAGATTTAGAATATGAACAGCATTGTTTAAGGCCTCCACCCAAAAAGAAGTGGGAAGATTAGCTTGAATTAACAAGGTTCGAACAGCGTTATTGATAGTTCGAATCATGCGTTCGGATCTTCCATTCTGTTGCGAGGTGTATGGACACGAGAAGCGGAAGGTGATACCATTTTTGGCAAAAAAATCATGAAACTGTGAGTTGTTGTACTCACCTCCATTGTCACATTGGAGAGACCGAATATTGGTCTTAAAATGATTTTTCACATAGCTATGAAATTGTGAAAATTTAGAGAAGACATCACTCTTGTTACGAAGAGGATAAACCCACAAGAAATGAGAGAATTGATCCAAGAAAAGAACATAATAACGAATTCCCGATATGCTAGGAATAGATGAGGTCCACAAATCCGAATGTATTATTTCAAAAGGTGAAGAAACAGAAGATGTGGAAGAATAAAAAGGAAGCTTAACATGTTTTCCAAGCTGACAAGCATTACAAGACAAAGGGAGAGTCTTTTTATTTGACTGAAAATAAGAAGAGGAAATTAACGTCCTTAAGGCATCATTGCTAGGGTGAGCTAATCTTTGATGCCAAATTTCAGACGATTGAGCGAGAAACGCCGAAGCTTGAGCTTGGCTCTTATTGAATGTAGAAAAAACTGGATAGAGGTCGCCCGTGCTATCACTGCGGAGAAGTGTCTCCTTGGTGTGGAGGTCCTTAATAGAAAAACCAAATGGGTCAAACTCTATAGAACAGGTGTTATCTTTAGTGAAACGACGGACTGAAACAAGATTTTTGATGATATCGGGAGTGACAAGAACATTTCGAAGCGATAAGGGACGAGGTTTATTAACAAGTGTTAAGGATCCGGTAGCAGCAACAGGTATGCAACCACCATTGCCCACAATGACAGACTTTCTGATGCTAGGATTAAAATTAGTTTGGAGATTATTACCTGAGCCTGACGTTAAGTGAGCGGTAGCTCCGGAGTCCATGTACCACTGGGAATCGGTGGGATCTTGCAGTGTCAGCGTGTTGAATGCCTGGGCAAAATCTGCTGTGCTTTCATACTTGTTCCCTCCAACATTTTGAGTGTTGTTGTGTGGTGTGTTGTAAGCAGGTCGTGGTCCAAGAACCCCATAACCACTGCCTCCTGCAGCTGTTAGTTGAGGCGGAAACCCCCACGGCTGCTGCCACATCGGGTATGGTGGCGGGTAGAATGGACTGTTCCAAGCGTTGAATGGAGTGGACTGGTAAGATGGACGTGGTGAGTTGTATGACGACCGGCCTCTTCCACGAAACTTGTTGTTTCCCTTGCCACGGCCTCTGTTCTGAAACTGTTGATTTCCTGATCGTTGGAAGTTGTTGACGGGTGGAGCTTCAGAAACAGCCAGGACAGTTGACGATGAGGAGTGATCAACATGTGTAGGGTTCGGTTTGATCGCCTTCTTTAGACGTTCTTCCTCGTCCTGCAACATTGCTGTTGCATCATCAAAACTGGGAAAGGGCTGGCGATGCTTAATCACGTTGATGATGTTGTCAAATTTAGCGTTCAAGCCATTTAACACATACATCACAAGCGTACGATCTTGCACCGGAGCGTCGACATTACTGAAGGAGTCAGCAAGTTTCTTCATTTCACGACAGTAGTCAGCTACCTTCATGTCACCAATCTCCTTGGTTCTCAATTCGTTGTCAAGACGCAAGGCCCGAGCATCCTTGTTATTCCTGAATTGATTTTCGATCCGCAGCCAGATCTCACGAGAGGTTGAACCAGAGACGAAGGAACCCTGAAACTGTTTGGGTGTGAGAGTTCCATAGAGCCAGATCTTCACAATCCCATCACGTTTCTTCCATGCGACATCGTCGGCGTTAGCTGGGAGCAGAGTGCCATCGATGTGGCCAAGGACATCGAAGCTGAGACAGTGGGTGAGAAAAAGCTCTCTCCACGCATCGTAGTTACTCTCTTCAAGATCAAGAATCACAGGGATGTGAGTCTTGATGTTATTGACTCCGTAAATTTTGTCGGAATTGTTGGCTGCGGCGGCCATTGAAGAGAGATTGAAGGTTGGAAGAGAAGAGAAGAGAAGGAAGAAGAAGAGGAAGAAAAAGAGATAATTTAGAGAAGCGTTTTAGATTGAGCTGCGCTCTGATACCATGAAAGATTGTGAAAGTCTCCCTTGAGGAGATCGTTGTGTATTCACTTGAATATAAAGACATTACAGTTACAAACTGTTTCGAGATCTCCTCGATACTCCTAGATACAAGGGAATATCCTAAGTATAATAAACAAACAGATTGATCGTATCTTATCTCCTAATACATGACAACTCAACTCAAGCAATAACTTGTAACTTAATATGAATTTTATGTATATGTATTTTTTTTTGTTTAAAGCTTTAACATTAACGATGACATTTCTCTTTTCCGAAAGATTGTTTTTTTTTTTTTTTCAGTCCTTCAGCTGATTAATGTTTGACACTAATGTTTCCCTCGGTTTGGTTTTCAAACTCGAGTTTTAACTTATGTCGTCGTTGAAAATAAACTGTGTACTGTACGTATGTATTAAAAATGTTATTTAAAGCACCAACTCAATTGTTATGCTATTTGATCATATCCAAATAATTAATCAATATCACGATTCACTTCCTATATATATATGCTTGCGGACAGAACATATCGTGAGAACTAAGAAACACCCAAGAAAACAAGCAAACTAAAAAATAAAATAATGGCAGTTTCAACACATCATCACGTGGTCCTCTTCCCTTACATGTCAAAAGGCCACATCATCCCCCTCCTCCAATTCGGTCGTCTCCTCCTCCGTCACCACCGCAAAGAACCAACCATCTCCTTCACCGTCACCGTCTTCACCACTCCTAAGAACCAACCTTTCATCTCAGACTTCCTCTCGGACACGCCGGAGATAAAAGTGATTTCTCTCCCTTTCCCGGAAAACATCACCGGAATCCCTCCCGGCGTCGAGAGCACCGACAAGCTCCCTTCCATGTCACTTTTCGTCCCCTTCACACGCGCCACGAAGCTTCTCCAACCTTTCTTCGAGGAAACACTCAAGAATCTTCCTCAAGTTTCTTTCATGGTCTCCGATGGATTCCTCTGGTGGACATCGGAATCTGCAGCTAAGTTCAAGATTCCTAGGTTGGTCTTCTACGGCATGAACTCTTACTCTGCCGCTGTCTCTATCGCTGTTTTCAAACACAAACTCTTTACCGAACCGGGAACTAAATCTGATACCGAACCGGTCACTGTACCGGACTTTCCATGGATCCGGGTTAAGAAGTGTGATTTCGACCATGGTACTACCGATCCGAAAGAATCAGGTGCAGCCCTCGAACTAACTATGGACCAAATCATGTCGAACAATACAAGCCTTGGGTTTTTAGTCAATAGCTTCTACGAGCTCGAATCAACATTTGTTGATTATAACAACAACTCTTATGATAGACCAAAGTCGTGGTGTGTTGGGCCACTGTGTTTGACAGATCCTCCTAAACCGAGGAGGGCTAAACCGGCTTGGATTCATTGGTTGGATCGTAAGCGAGAGGAAGGGCGTCCGGTTTTGTACGTGGCGTTTGGAACGCAGGCAGAGATATCGGACAAGCAGCTTATGGAACTAGCTTTAGGCTTGGAAGATTCTAAGGTATGTACCACAACAAACCAAATGAAATGGTTACAAAAGTAAAAAGTTAGATGTGTATTCATTTAGATAAAAGCACTTTATTGAACCGTTCATGGAGGTTTTCGACACATAAATTAGGTGTTATACACTTAAGCAGACAGAGTATTTTTGTCAACCTAATTACATGCATGATTATTTTACAGTGTGACTACACAAGTTGGCTTTTGGGTGCAGGTAAAAAGTGTTTATTTTATGACGTGTTTGGTAAACTTCTTGTGGATCACAAAAACAGGCGTAAAAGAGCTAAAATTTAAGAGTTTAATCAATGCAATGAAATAGTTAAAAAAGAGATTGATAAATTTTTTATTCATATACTCTAATATATTAATGCCATATCGCACTTTCGTCGACCTAATTCATTGACTTTAAGTCTATAATTCGACACTAAACAAATTAGGCATTAAATAAATGTAAAGGTATGGTTATAAATGCATATCGAGTCAAATATACTTTTATATCAAATATGAAATATCAATCATGACGTGTTAGACCCTTTAGGTGAACTTTCTGTGGGTCACAAGAAAAGACGTGGAGGAGATTCTTGGAGAAGGATTCCACGATAGAATAAGAGAGAGTGGGATGATAGTGAGAGATTGGGTGGACCAATGGGAGATATTGTCACATGAAAGTGTCAAAGGATTTTTGAGCCATTGTGGATGGAACTCAGCGCAAGAGAGCATATGCGTTGGGGTCCCATTGCTGGCTTGGCCGATGATGGCCGAGCAACCGCTCAATGCGAAAATGGTTGTGGAGGAGATAAAAGTCGGAGTAAGAGTTGAAACGGAAGATGGGAGTGTAAAAGGATTCGTGACAAGAGAGGAACTAAGTCGAAAGGTATCGAGATACAAACAAAAAAAATTGATTTTGTAAGTTCAAGATCATGCTCTTTTTTTTTTTAAGTGGTTAAAAGTATTATTTATTTCACAGATTAAAGAACTAATGGAAGGAGAAACGGGAAAAACTGCGAGAAAGAATGTGAAAGAATACTCAAAAATGGCAAAAGCAGCTTTGGTCGAAGGGACTGGTTCGTCTTGGAAGAACTTAGATTTGATTCTTAAGGACTTATGTAAGAGTAGAGATTCAAACGGTGCTAATGAGTAGAGTGTGATTAAGGATTGGATAACTGAACCGGATTTAGACCGGTTCGCTTACTAAAACCAGTATATCCAATATACACTATGTGTAAGTCTTGTATGGTTTAGTTGAAAAGTTGATCTTGATTACAATAAATGACTTTCATTTGATAATTTTGACTATGATTAATATTTACCGATGAAGCTAAGCAGTCTCATCATGCCATTATGGGCATAATTTCTCGAAAGTGAGCAGATTTGGCCATTTGGGTCATGTAAATGCATTCATTTAATAATTAGTATCCAATTAAAGGCTAACTAGGATCGGATCCGCGGTCCACCGCAGGGAGAATATTGGTTTACATACGTTGCGTTTAATATTGTATGTGTTTTTTAGTAGAACGAATCGTGTAGTATACTTATAAATATTCATAATAACGAATTGTAGAGAAAATGTAAAATTGTTTATAAATATACCCATCGTATTAATTATGATTTACAAAATAGAATTTTGTGTTTTAAAATTCTAAAATTAGATGATTCATGAGAATTAGAGCAGTCAAAATAGGTCAAAAACCGCGGGTCGAGCCCACATCATCTCACTATGGGGCAGATTTGGGAAAATATATTAAACCCGCAAATAAGCGGGCCACATGGATTAATTCGCAGTGGGTCATAGGTTTAATCGGTTTTCATCTGCGGGTTGGCGGATCAGCCCGCATATTAGTATTTATTGATAAAATTATAATTTATTCAACATGTGGTAATTTAAACAAACTTTTAATAGTATTTTTATTTATTTATTTATTTTAGTAGTATTTTAAATTTTGGTTACTTTAAAATTATTTAAACAAAATCCATGGACAATCCCGCAAATCCGCATACATTCGTGGGATGGGTTTGTATTTCATATATGCTACTCGCGGGTCGTGCGGACCGACTAACACAAGTCAAAATATTTTTTGTCTATCGCAAAACGGACTCAACGGGACGAATCAACTCGCTTTGACAGTTCTAATGGGAATGTTATTTAGTCATACAACAAAATGAAGTTTGGACATAGTAATAATAGAATATGTATCTTATTTGTTAGATGAGAGATTGAAAGATGAAGTATAATGATTAAAAATTAATTATTATTTTTCATGATTCACAAAATTTAATAAATACTTATCATCTTATTGAATAATTCTAAAATCATATTCAAAAAATCTTTATAAATTGAAAATTAAACTTCTTTGGTAAGCTATAGGTATGAAAATATCATAATTTCGATTTAAAAATTAAAATTAGTTACATGGATTTCATATCTATTTAATTTACACGACCAAAATAAAAATATCAATTTAATTTATAAAACAGATGGGTTATTTGTGATTAATTTTCTAGAAATCTTTAGAAGCAAATAAAATATCTTTCAATTAATGATAATTGGCTAAAATGAGCGAAATTAATGACAAAAACGTTGATTGTTATGGAATTAGTCCCAAAAATATATGAACAAATTTATTATAAGTAATTAATGTATAATATTGTTCGGAATATGCTTTTATTATTAGTTACCATAAGTACAATCAGATTTTATTTTATTTCCATAAATATTTGATTTTATTTCGATTTTTCATTATTAATTCGAATTTATATTCCAAAAAAATTTCAAAGATCCGATTTCAGAATTTCGGGTCAATTTTCTAATTTTAACCCGACCCATTTTTATTTGTACTTCTCTTTTAATAATATAGAGATGATATAATCAGAAAGATTCCGAAGAGAATCTTGGATACTTTTCGTGTTCTTTGATTTTTATATTTATTCAAATATATAATAATCTTTCTAGAAGAATTTTGAAGAACAAAAATTTCCCCTCTTTTGGGCTTAGAACCCTCTTTCTCTCTGAGTGTCTTCCACTAGGGTAGAATAGAGCTTCAGACTGGAATATTCCTCTTTCCCTCTTGCCGCAATTCACTGTTTTTCACTGTGTACTTCAAGTTTCTCGATCTAATCTTCAAACTTTCTAGGGTTTGGTCCAATTTTCTTCGTTTATTGTCTGATTATAGTCTTTCTGGAGTCGGGTTCTCTTTGGTTTTGTTGGTCGAAGCTTTGCGGAAGATTAGAGTTCTTAAATCCCATGTCTCGGTGTTTTCTGTTTTCAAGGAAAGTTTCAGAAGTTTGAAATGTCATCAGCAATGGATCGAGCGTTGATGGAATTGTCTCTGGAAGATAAAGATGAACCTTTCGACATGCCCGACCTTCCTGAATTCATGTCTTGCGAAAGAAATAAGCTGAGTCTTATCGGAAGAGATGTGAATCCGGTAAGACTCAGCTTATTTTCAATCCTGATGTGCAACAGATTCAGGAGTTTGTGCGGGTCAAAGTAATCTTTGATGTTTCAAGACCTCTCCGAAGATCTAAAGAAGTGAACCTTCGCAATGGAGAGAAAGCCACTGTCAGGTTTTAGTATGAACGTGTACAGAAAAGATGTTATGAGTGTCAACGTCTTACCCATGAGAAAGATTTATGTCCCATTCTGATCAAAGCGAGACAGGACCAAGCAGAAGCAAGAAGGAAGGGACAACCTCAGGCTAGACCTCCTCCTGTCAAGGTGTTGAGTGAATCTGATCCCTTGTTTGGTGTGCTAAAAGAAAGTCAAGTGGGAGTTGATCCAAATACGGGAAGACCCTGAATAGCTCCTGTTGTGCTTGAAGGTATGAGGCAGTATCTCAGAGTTGCAAGTGATGAAGAAAGGCTGCTAAGGATTGACAGAGTTATTCAATCTGTGGGTGAAGTAGAAAAAGATCCAATGGCTAAGAAAACTATTTTGAGGTTGGAGCCTCTTCCAATAGTGCACTTAGATCTAGATAAAGAAAAAGGAAGAGTTTTTGGTTATGCAAGTGAAAGATCTTCAAGTTTAAAAGGAAAAGATGGGACTCAGGTGACTACTGAGAGGATGTCTGGTCTGGAAATTGAAGGTCATAGAGACTGGTTAACGGATCCTACGGCTACACCTTCCATTAGCAGTTCTGGTAATTTCTTAGCTCTCTCGCAACCATTTTCTGATAGTTCTACGGTGTACAAGCCAGGTTTCTTTGAAGCCGGGCCTTCCAGAATTATCTCTAAAAAGGTTAAGCAGAGAGGCAGACATCCAAAGAATGCTAGAAAAACGAAGCCTAGAGTTGGGAACAACATTGGTGTAGTCCAGAGTCTTAAAGAAGGTTCTGATTTTGGTACAAAAGAGAAGAGGAAAACAGATGATAAGGGTAAAGGCACTGCAAAACATACAAAGCTTAACCCCAAATTGGTGGTCCCAAATGAGGGACCGTCCAATATCTAATGAGTCTTCTCAGTTGGAATTGTCAAGGATTGGGACGGTCTCATGAATTGACGATTCCTAGACTCATGGAGATGAGACGTGATCATTTCCCTGAGGTGTTGTTCTTAATGGAAACAAAAAATTGTTGGAATGTTGTTGTTGATTTGCAAGAATGGTTGGGGTACGAGAGAGTTTTTACGGTGAATCCAGAAGGGCTTAGTGGAGGTTTAGCCTTGTTTTGGAAGAAAGGTGTAGATATTGAGGTGAAGTTTGCGGATAAAAACCTTATTGATTTTCACATCCAATTTGGTTCTTTTGAATTTTATGTCTCTTGTGTCTATGGAGACCCGGTGTATAGTTCTAGACATTTGGTTTGGGAAAGAATCTCAAGGATTGGGATTCAAAGGAAGGTTCCTTGGTGCATGATGGGAGATTTTAATGCTATATTGCATAATGGTGAGAAGCTTGGAGGTCCAAGGAGGGGTGATGCATCCTTTCTACCTTTCAAAGATATGCTAGAGACTTGTGGCATGACAGAGCTGATTAGTAAAGGTAATCCTTTCACCTGGGGGGAAAAAGAGGGACCCTATGGATACAAAGCAAGCTGGATCGCTGTTTTGGCAATAAGAGTTGGTTTTCTCTATTTCCTGAGTCTAACCAGCAGTTTTTGGATAAAAGAGGTTTTGACCATCGCCCTGTTTTGGTCAGATTATCTAATTCCAGGGAGGAATATAGAGGAAACTTCAGATTTGATAAAAGGCTTTTCAATCAACCAAATGTGAAGCAAGCCATTGCTAATGCTTGGAATAGTAATCATGGGAATAATCTGAAGGTGCTGGACAAGTTTAAGAAATGCAGATCGGCTTTGAGCAAATGGAAGAAAGAAAACAACTTGAACTCTCTCACAAGGATTACACAAGCTCGTGCAGCTTTGGAAATTGAGCAGTCTTCTGGTTTTCCAAGAGCTTTGGTAGTGAATTCCTTAAAAGACGATTTGTGTAAGGCAAATTTGGATGAAGAAACCTTTTGGAGTCAAAAGAGTAGAGCTAAGTGGAATCATGGTGGTGACAAAAACACGAAATTTTTCCATGATTCAGTAAAGGACAATCGCAGGAAGCAGCACATTGAAAAGCTAAGTGATATCAATGGTATTCAACTTAAAGATGAAGCTTCAAATGGAGCTATTGTTGTGGCCTATTTCTCTGAACTCTTTAAATCCTCAAATCACAGTTCTTTCCAAGGTATTTTTGATGAGTTTCAGCCTAGAGTTTCTGAAGGTATGAATAAAATTCTCACTGCTGCAGTTTCTAAGAATGAAATCAGAGAAGCTGTTTTTGCTATCAAGGGTTCTAGTGCTCCAGGAGCTGATGGCTTCACTGGTTTTTTCTTTCAAAAATACTGGAGCATCATTGGTCAACAAGTCACAGTGGAGGTTCAAAATTTCTTTCTTTCTGGTTCTTTTCCTGCTGATTGGAATTTCACTCAGCTAAGCTTACTGCCAAAGACCAAGAAACCTTCTAAAATGACTTATTTACGCCCCATAAGTTTATGCTCTGTGCTTTATAAGATCATTTCCAAGATTCTGGTTAGGAGGCTTCAACCTTTTCTCCCTGATCTTGTTGCACCTAATCAGTCTGCTTTTGTTGCTGAGCGTTTGGTTTCAGACAACATCCTCATTGCACATGAAGTTGTCCACGGGCTGCGCACTCACAAAGACATTTCCAAGGACTTCATGGCCATAAAGTCGGATATATCAAAAGCTTTTTCTAGGGTTGAGTGGAATTATGTTAAGGCCCTGTTGAAGGCTCTGGGATTCCATCCTATTTGGGTGCAGTGGATTATGTCTGCGATTACAGCAGTCTCT